TTTTGGTGAATAATTTTGTATTTAAATATGAAAAAAATGACAGTTTTAAATTAATTTTTGAATTGTATTCTTTCTTTGTTAAATTTTTAATCATTATATTTAGACAAAAAAATTTAATTATATATTTATTTTGTCATAGAATACAATAACTTGAAATTCAAATAGATTTGAACTCAATTACCTCATCATCTATAGAGATTTTCTAAATCTCTTAGACTTCTATCTTCATCTTTCAGATGTCTTTTTGAGATTATGTTTCTTACTGATGGATTTAATTAACCCGGGGTGGCCCGAATTATTGAACCCGGATAAGAACGTAATATGGAAATGTATAAACGGAACGAAACGATGTCGTAAGGTCGCAGGGATCGTGGGTCGTGAGCACCGTATATTATATTAAATGCCGTAAATAGGCTATTACAATGATTCGTCAGTACAAAGTATGTAGATAAAGTAGATCGTCTTGTTAGGACAGGCAGGGGGGGCTTTTATACAAGCCAAACCCCCCAACCGCCTCCCCCTAAAATGGGGGGTAGTTGGATCTGGCGTTGACCGCGCCCGGTCTCGCGACAGGGCCGCGGTGTGGGAACCGGGCCGAGCCCATCTGGAGGTCGGTGCGACCCCGTGGAGAGGTCGGTCTGACCCCGTGGAGAGGTCGGTCCGACCCCGTCGAGAGGTCGGTCCGACCCCGTGGAGAGGCCGGTCCAACCTCCAGCCGTGGCTCGCGCAGGGGCCACGTGCCGAAGCCTCGTGCCAGGGCGGGTACGCGGCATCGCCCCGGGACCCATTCTTGCTCTGCGCCCTCGGGTCGGTTCGGGTCGGTTCCCAGTATATCCATCATCAGTCTCCCACTCTCTGAGTTGCGAGTAATTGTCAATGAAGGAGAGTTGACGCTCCGGCCGACCCGCCAAAAATGCCGATCCCGAAGCGCCTGCGTCCAGGACTTGCAGGTGCGTTGTCGGAACGCTCTTCTTATGATAAGGCTGAAAACTCCGTCACGAACATGGCTTCTGCATCTACTAGGACTCATATGCAGTAGAGTCCCAACAAATCTCATCCATCTTCCCTAGATATCTTCAAAGTCAACCCATCACACATAGGACGAACACACCTCTAACACACCCGCGAACACACCCGTGAACACACCTCTAACACACCCGCGAACACACCCCGAACACACCCTGAATTTTCCGGCGACCACCACCGAATTCCGGCGAATCCCCCCTGTTTCCTGCGCGGCCCCGAGCTCCAGCGAGTCCACGGCGAAAACTCACTCCGGCGAACTGTCCCGCCACCTCTTGCCGACCCCATTGTCGAGCCGTAGGCCCGAGCACGGTATGCCCCTCCTTCACCTTGGTATATTTTATATTTCCACCTTGTTCCAATGTTATGGGGCCGGCATGGTGACGCCGGCGCGACGGCGAGAGACAAGCCGCGGCCTACCCCCCGCGCCGAGGTCGTGTCGACCCCGGCCTCAACCGACCTCCCGCGCTGAGGTCGTGCCGACCTCATGCGCCGAGGTCGTGCCGACCTCGGCCTCAGCCGATCTCCCGTGCCGACCTGCCACGCCAAGGTCGTGCCGACCTCGACCTCGGCCCAAGGCCAAGGTCCTCCCGCTTGTTTCCCTTTTTTTTTTTCGAGCCTAAGCACTCAAGCTCCCCCCTCGGGGTTGGTACGCGAGGTCTGTCCTCGTGCCCCCTTAGGGTGCGATAGCCGCTCCGTCCTGGCTCGTTTGAGCCTAGGCACTCGGGCTCCTCCGTCGGGGTTGGTACGCGAAGTTCGGCCTCGTGCCCCCTTAGGGTGCGATAGCCGCTCCGTCCTGGCTCGTTCGAGCCTAGGCACTCGGGCTCCTCTGTCGGGGTTGGTACGCGAGGTCCGGCCTCGTGCCCCCTTAGGGTGCGATGGCTGCTCCGTCCTGGCTCGTTCGAGCCTAGGCACTCAAGCTCCTCCGTCGGGGTTGGTACGCGAGGTCGGACCTCGTGCCCCCTTAGGGTGCGCCTTAGCCGCTCGGGCCAAGTCCTTTTGGACTATGCCACCGGGCTCTTTCGTCGGGGTTGGTACGCGAGGTCGGACCTCGTGCCCCCTTAGGGTGCGCCTAACCGCTTGGGCCCAGTCCTGTCGGACCAAGCCACCGGGCTCTTCCGTCGGGGTTTGTACGCGATGTTAGACCTCGTACCCCCTTAAGGTGCGCGTTAGCCGCTCGGGCCAAGTCCTTTCGGACTGTGCCACCGGGCTCTTCCGTCGGGGTTGGTACGCGAGGTCGGGCCTCGTGCCCCCTTAGGGTGTGTGCTCCGTCAGGGTTGGTACGAGAGGTCGGACCTCGTGCCCCCTTAGGGTCCGCGGGGGCAAGACATGAGTGAGCACTCGTTTCCCCTTGTTTCATGATTTTTTATTTTAAGGGAGGAAAAATGAATGAGAACCAACTTCATAACAAGGGTCCTCCTCACAACGTATTTCGTAACATGAAACTTTATTCCGCTTATTGTCGTTCACTACGACATTATTGGGGGAGGGGAATGTTCCTCCTCCTAGAATAGCAATGCCAAGATCCACCTCTTACGTGGTCGTCCTGGTGTGGACCTGGAGGTCCTTCTGACCAATTTGGCGGCACTCCTTCAAGTAGCAACTGCGGCTCACCTTTTGGTCCCCTCGGGCGACCCCAACCCCGGTCGGTGTCGGGAATTTGGGGCACAGGTGCTCCATGGAAATCACGCACCTGAGGTCCTCTAGGGTGGGTCGGCCGAGAATGATGTTGTGGGCGCAGTTGATTTTGACGACTATGAACTCGACCTCCCACCTCCTGTGTGAGGTGGGGTGCCTATCTCCACCTCCAAAGTAATCGACCCCTCCGTCTCAATTGAGTCTCCCGTGAACCCGGAAAGGGGGGTCTGTACCTGCTCCAGCTGCCCTCTTGAAAGTCCCAGCTGGGTGAATGTGTCTGTAACACCCCGTGTTACGATCCCTAAAACCAATTAATCATTTAACAAATTACCCAAAAGAAGGAATTAAATCACAATAATTAATTAGGAAAGGTCCACCATAGTCCATGGGCCCTTATCCCTAAACCCAACCCTTAGTTCCAAAAGGAATAGAATTAGCAAGCCTATAATATTAGTTCCTAACCAGGACTCCTAAATATATAAATAGGGGACTTAAGAGGCACCTAGAACCCCCCACCACAATAAACGACTCACCACCCCAAAGAGCTCCAAGAATTCCCTTAGAAGAAATCAAGAAAGCAAGAAAGCTTAAAGAAAGACCCTTCATAGCCAAGGAATTAATTAAGGCTAAGAGGTAACCCATGTCTTAACAAAACCTATTTTCATAGCTATGATTCCCCTCTTAGGATTTCCCCATATTATTGTGTATTGATGATTTGTGATATTATTATTGATGATTGGTGGGATGATTCCATGGGTGATCTTGATGATGAAAGGTTCTTGATAATTATGGTGTTCTTGATGATTATATAACGTTCCTGATGATTATATGATGTTCTTGATGATTATATGACGTTCCTGATGATTATATGATGTTCTTGATGATTGTAGGATGTTCTTGATGTTTATATGATATTCTTACCGAATCTTGATATTGGAAGATGAATTGTGTCCTTGTTGATTTAAAAATGATTAGAACCCTAGGTTGTATCGTATGGAATTATTCTTGGTATATTGGGTGGGAATTCGCATGATTGGGTGTTGATTATGTTTAGAAAAGCATGATAGGTTATGTGCCATATGTTTCTCGATCTTTGACCCGTTAATTGTCTACGTGTGTTATCAATTGCGTTTGAAAGTGTCTAAGCATGGTTTCGGGTTCCACAAAGGTTCCCGGGGCGTTTTTGGTGAAAAAGAGTCAGTGGGGGGTAGGTGGGGGTAGGGGACCCGCCACCTACCCGCGGCCTTCTTGGGCAACGCCGGCAGCGGGCAGCTGCCCGCCGGGCACCCGCTGCCCAGATTAGCTACTGCCGGCGGGTGATCCCTCACCCACCGGCTACCCGCTGGTTTGAACCCCACTTTGGGATTTTGGCTTCCCCGTTCGATGTTCCCCCGACCCCCGTGGTGTCCCAACGGACTCCGTCTATCGTGCCTATGTCTAGTTTGATATTTTGGGTACCGTTCGTAGGTTGTATGAGTCTTGTATATTGCATGCTAGTTGAATTGGTATCCCGTTGACCTAGGTGAAAGAAGTATGAACCCCTTAGGATTATTCTTAGTATGTGAAGGATCACGCATAGGTTTTGTTATACGTTTTCTCCCCCTTCCCAATGTGTTAATGTGGGTTGCATGTGCTTGCTATGTGTTATGTGTGCATGATACCCCAATTCGGTTGCGATCGGATTGGTTATTCCTGAGCTGCGGTTCAGAAGCTGGCTGCAGTCAGATTTACACTCTCGGGCTGCGGTCCACCGTTTGGTTGCGATCAAACGTTTCTACATGAGCTGCGGGGGTTCATATTTCCTGGCTGCGGTCAGATGACATACTCTTGGGCTGCGGTCCACTGTTTGGTTGCGATCAAACTATGATGAGCCGCGGTTCATCGGTCGGTTGCGATCGACCCCTCCGTGTTGCGATACGGGGCAGGGTACTGCGGGGCCGTGTCAGAGCTATATGCGCTGACCCTCATGTATGGGCATGCGATTGGTCCTATGGCGCCAACAAAGTGTGCTATGTGATGAAATATGGATGAGTTGTTGTTATGAGTATCTTGGGGATGTGACTGTGGGATTTATACTGGGAATCGTATATGTTGAATTATGATTATTAACTGTGCTTATCTTACCTGTCTTGCCTGTTGTAAACTATGCTGGGTATAACTGCTGTCTGTGCTTAGCCCTATCTGTTGAGTCGATCCCTGTTTTAAAAGCTAGAGTCTCGTAGGATATATCTTCATACTTCAAATTGGTTTTCGTATATCTATATATATGTCTATATGTATTGTATTTCAACGCGTTGGAATGAGTTACCAGCATCTATCGCTGAACAGATATATTTGGCTTTCAGTCACAGAAGAGTAAGTCACTGGAACGTGCTAGAACTTGGAGCGTAGAAGTAGATAGTTTCCCTTTCGGCCTGAGTGCCATGTCTATGCGTTTACATTATTGAGGATATTAGTAGTTAGCCTGTGCACCTAAGTTCTCTAGCTTAGGTGTGGCATAGCACCCCGTACTCTTTGTATCGTATTTTGGGATTTAATGAGATTCTATCTTTATTACATAAGTTTTAAAAGTTCTGAAAATCTGGGGTGTTACAGTGTCGTAGTACATGACGTTCACCGAGCTACCCGTGTCTACGAGCACCCGGTGCACCACCATGTTGTTGATGTCTAGCTTGACTACCAGGGCGTCTCGGTGGGGGAGGGGGCTGTCTGGTAGGTCAGCGTCGGTGAACGTGATGGGCTCCCTTTTCGGTTTATTCTCGTGGGGCGTTCGTGTGACCTCCCCCACGTACAAGCTTCTCGCCCACCTCTTCCGCTCAGCTGGCGAGTCCCCTCCCTTGGGCCCCCCAAAGATGACATAGATGGTACGTTTCCTCAGGGGCTGGGAGTCCTCTGTCGTCTTCTCCTCCTCCTCGGAGCTGTGGTCGTGGTCCCTCTTACGAGGTGCCGAGGTGGATTGCGCCTGGCCACCCCCCTTCCTCCATACATTGTCTTGCTTCTGGCCTTGTGCCTGGCCGGGCTTCTTAATGAATTGGCCGAGGTAACCCATTTGGATGAGCTCCTCGATTTGTCTCTTTAGGAGGATGCATTCATCTGTATCGTGTCCTTTCTGCCGGTGGAACCTGCAATACTTGTTGGGGTCCCCCCTCGCCGATATCTTCATGCACTTCTCCTTCGGGAATACCACGATTCCCTGGTCCTCCGCGTGCGCCAAGACGGTACCCACAGGTTGTGTCAACGAGGTGAGATAGCGTGTGGGGTTCAGCCTGGGCCCCTCAGCGTACTCACGTCGGTGTGGCCGTGGCGCCTTGCGCTCCTCCTGGGGGGCCTTGTCTTTTCGACCTCTCCCTTCCTCCTGCTCCTTCTTCCTCTTCTCGGCAACCTCGGCGTCAGCGTACCTGGCTGCCCTGTCTATCAGGTCGGTATTGGACCTGGGGGGGTGGGTACCTGATGAGGTCCTGGTGAAAAGCACCCGACCTCAAGTTGTTTCGAAAAATAGGCATGGCCGACTTCCCATCAAAGTTGGCAACCCCCATGGCCTCCTTCTTCCACTTGCTGAGGTACTTGGCTAATGACTCCGAGCTCCCATGCATTAGATCACACAGGTCGGCGATTTTCTTCTTTCGCTGCATGCTGGTGGCAAAATGGGACAGGAACTGCAGGGTGAGGTCCGCAAAGGTGGAGATGGACCCCTCCGGGAGGGACCCGAACCAAAAGTGCGCCTACCCATCTAGGGTGGCAAAGAACCCCCTGCACAAGATGGCGTCGGTAGCCCCGGTGATCATCATGGCGGCCCTGTACCTGCTGAGGTGTGACCGTGGGTCCGTGGCCCCCGAGTACACCTTGATGGTGGGAAAACGAAAATCTCGAGGTAAGGGCTCATCCATGATGGTGTTCGCGAATGGGGAGGCCAACACATCCTGGGGCTCCGGAGGCCCGTCCCTCTCATCGATCTTCTTCTGGAGCTCGTCCATCCTCCTCCGCAGCTGCTCGACCTCTTCCCGATGGGAGCTCGGAGCTCTACCATTCGTTTCACCCGATCGTTCGACCCGAGAGGCCTGCTCACGTCACGGGTGGGGTCGGGGGACCCGACCTGCGGACCCACGCGAGGCAGCCTCGTGCCGCGGCTGGGCACGGGGCCCGTGGCTCGGCGACCTCCGAGTGACCGATTCCTGTCGCATTGGCTGGCGGAAGCATGATTCCGCTTCTGGTGGCCCGTTGGCTGGCCTCGGACCCAACCTGTCCCGGTCCGACACACGATCGCCCAACCTCTCCAGGGCGGGCCTGGTTTGGGTTGGTGCCCTTCCATCGCCGCCGTGCCGGCGGTTCGGCGGGAGTCCCCGCCTCCTCGTCTGTCCGTTGGTCGAGGCGAGTTAACCTCCCCCTGTGTGGCATGTGCCGGGGGTGGCCGGGCGCTCGGCCCATTGCGCCCCCTGGAGATAGGTGGAGGTGGAAGTGGAGCCAGCGCCCCTCGGGTGCCGCCTAGGTCAGCTTACTCCTCTGCCCAAAGCCCGCCGCGCACGTGCCAGCGCCGTGGAGGCCTGTTCAAAGACCGCCACCCCCACCCGAATGAGTGCGCGAGCTAGAGCGGGGGCGATAGGGGTGGTGGTGCAGCGCTGCTACGGTGGTTGGTGAGCTCGGCCCTCAGATCTCCCCCCGGCCTGGTGGAAGCGGCCGGTTGGATGCTGGGAGCGGGGGGCCCGTTGGGGCCATTCCCGTTCGCGACGAGCTGGGTGCCGCGGGAACCGTTGGTATGACGAGAGTTGGATCTCGATCTTGCCATAGTAGCTGGTCGCGGTAGACCAATGGATATAGAACACGCATGAGCTGGTGCAGCAGCTCTCAATAAGAGCACCAATGATGGATTAATTAACCCGGGATTAAACCCGGATAAGAACGTAATATAGAAATGTATAAACGGAACGAAATGATGTCGTAAGGTCTCAGGAACCGTGGGTCGTGAGGACCGTATATTATATTAAATGCCGTAAATAGGCTATTACAATGATTCGTTAGTACAAAGTATGTAGAAAAAGTAGATCGTCTTGTTAGGACAGGCAGGGGGGCTTTTATACAAGCCAAACCCCCCAACCGCCTCCCCCTAAAACGGGGGGTAGTTGGATCTGGCGTTGAACGCGCCCGGTCTCGCGATCGGGCCGCGGTGTGGGGGCTGGGCCGAGCCTATCTGGAGCTCGGACCGGGCCCATCTGGAGGTCGGTCCGACCCCGTGGAGAGGTCGGTCCGACCCCGTGGAGAGGCCAGTCCGACCCCGTGGAGAAGCCGGTCCGACCTCCAGCTGTGGCTCGCGCAGGGGCCACGTGCCGAAGCCTCGTGCCAGGGCGGGTATGCGGCACCGCCCCGGGACCCATTCTTGCTCTGTGCCCTCGGGTCGGTTCTCAATATATCCATCACTTACCTTTATAAATAGAAATTTCTATCATTACAGCGAAATTTAAATTTAAATATTAAAAACATCACCTTCTATATTATTGTCTTTATCTAATAGATTACTCTATTATATTTAAATTACATCTCGGAACAAATACAATGAAGGTTCAAACTAAATTATTAGACATAACCCTTATTTTTAATTAAATCACCTGGTGAAAAATTGTCTGGTTTTCTCTTGTATTTATAGCCAAAGAAAAGTAGAAAGAATTTGGAAGGGAAGAAGAAGAAAGTGGATCATAGTGCTACACATGCAATACTTCCGGCGCTACTCAATTATTTGCCTCCCTTATCAGCCATAAATAAATAAGGGAAGGAAAAAGGATGGGCTGCTAGCTAGATGATTGAAGAAGATGACAAGGGCGGCTGCACATGGTTTTGTATAAAAGGATTAGGTGGAAAGCATAGTAAATGATTTCGGATTTTGGGTGGCTAATTGCCCATAACCTGCCAAAGGTGTGATTAGAATATGATATTAAGGTGGCTAATTGCCGCCTAATCATGCCAAAGCATAATAATTAAATAAAGGATAGAGTGGTTTTCAAAAAAAATAAAATAAATAAAGGATAGAGTGGTTGCATGTCTTGGTTGACTGACGAAAGGGAAGAAACTCAAGAAAAAGCCAAGGAACAAAAAAACAAACAACTTGTTTGGTAAATGGTTGTTAGCTTATAGCTGTTAGCGGTTAGCTGATTGAGTCAATTAAAGGGTATAACTAGTTGATAAAATTAGTAGATTGTAAAAAAGTGTTTGATAAATGAGTTGTTAGCTGATAGTTGTTTGGTATAATTTTTTTTTTTTTCAAAAAGCTAATTGAAAAAAGTTTCTTTGAGCAACATTTTAAATTTTAAATTTTGGAGTTACAAAAAGCTAATTAACTAAACACTTGTATTGATTTTTTTTAACCAAATCAAATAATTAATAGTGGTCAAATAAGCCAAAATTGAAGCTAACTATTTTACCAAACATGGCCAAAATAATTTGTCTTTTTCCAAATTTTATTCTGCCGAAAAGATCAATAAGGCGGAGGTTTTTAAAATAAAATTTTATTTATCAACTCTCAAAATATTTTTGGATCACAAAATTTGATAAAATAATTTTGGAAAAATAAATTTTGAGATAGAGGTTTAAAATAGTTTTCCTGAAAATATATTTTGTTTGGAAATAAGGTTGATACTTCGTAATATTTTCGGGTGTCACACATTTATGGTAAATTATAATGTACATCGTGGTGCATAATCGATTATGCACCGCGCATCAAGACGATGTCGTTTTATTTAATGAAAAGAAACAGAATTTGTTTCGCGCCTTTCCGCACCGTTCCGCAAAAAATAACTCTATTCTTCAGTTTCATTTTGTATACACTGCAGTTTCAATTCAACACAACTACAATTTTATTTCGATATAACTACAGTTTCATTCAATATTTATACACTCATATATGTGAAAATGTTATTTAATAAAAATATTGATTTGGGATAGTGATAGCAACAAAAAAAATAAAATAAAATAAAATAACAAGCCATGCTTGAGGGCGTGTTTGTTTGTTTGTTTGTTTATTTTTTGGTTTTTTTTTTTTTTTTGTCAAAAAAAAATAAAGCAAAACACGCACTACCGTAGGGCATGTTTGTTTCTTCAACACAAACAAAACACAAAACACGCCGCGTTCATCCGAAATTTCAAGTAAAATAAGTAATTTTTTTGAATGCTACTACCACAAAGAAGGCTTTCACTAAGACTCAAACTCACAACCTTTCAAATGAAAGTCCAATTCGAGTACTATTAGACCATATAGTCTTGGTGCATGAATATTACTTTTTTAATATATATTTAATTAATAAAGTTAAAAGTGCAAGTTTTAAATAATTATAATAATTAGAAGTATACAATTTTGTT